ACCTTTTACAGAGAGAAATGCTGTCTTGTCTAGGATGAAGGCCAACTAGACTTAAATGCAACTTAACCAAATTAACCATTTGGCAAGGACAGGGAAATTATTAAGCCCTAAATCTAAAAAGCATTGGTGCCAAAGAATAGGTTGATTTGTGGCAACTTGAAAAACTTGAATGCTTTTTTCTTTCAGAAATTTATTGAAAAAGAAGTGAACAAATTAGTTGAAAGCAGAAAAGCCCAAGAACATAACATTTTACGATTCCACGAGGGGTTACTTGATCAAGACCCCCAAATCACTAAAATTCAACAGAAGATGCTCAGACAGAGGTATGATGGAAATTAATGCACATTTCATGTGAATATCATGAGCACAAAAGTTGTAAATACCAGGAAGAATTTAAAACACATTTTTAAGTCCTAGGCATTATTAGACCCCTTGTAGTCTTCAATGTGGAGAGGAGGGAAGGGAATAAAGCACACATACGTGCACACGTGCACACACACACACACCAGAGACTTAGAAAGGTTTGATATTTGAGGAAAGCCAAGGTACACATCCCTAATAGTAGCAGGAGAGATGGTATCCTTAGTACGTGTCTCAAGCTTACATTTAAGGAAATTAATTAAGGGAGGGTTATCAAAGCATATATGCTCATTCAGCAATGACCCACACACATTCAATGTTGCCATGTGAAGATCAAGCCCATGCCTCAGGAGGTGAGGGGATGAGTTATCGTTGTTTCCCCGATGCTTGACACTTGGTTTTCATGAAGACATCTCATGGCAGTGCCAGAATACATACTGACCCGCCAACATTCTAAAATCTAAAGAGAGGTCTGGTCAAGAAATGACAGGTAGCTTTGAAGCCACTCATTCTTAAGTGAAATCTCAAATCTGCTGGACTTTTTTTAAGTCAGTGAGAAACTCATATTTAAATGTTTTCAAGTACTCTGTTCCACATGTTGCCATTGTCCCAACCACAATAACAGAGTCTTATATAACAGAGAAACAGGTAATATGAGTACAGCCTGGTAGTTGATGGATCAGGTTAGCTGATAGGTCCATGAGAAACTCTTAGGTTCCTGTAGTTCTAGAAATAAAAAGCCACCAAGGAGATGTTTGGGGAATATCAAAGCAGATAATTCCATCCTAAGGAAACCACCCAATTTACCTTCATTTATATTTGTGCTTTTACTTAGCTATAGAGATATGGCTCAGAAGGAAATAGACAAACTTCAACACATATCGGAAAAACCTTCACCTTCCTTCCAGATGAAGGAAGAAGAGGAGACTTTCCAGGCCCATGTAAGAAGAAAAGTGAATCTCCAGAAACAAATTGAAGGGATGAGAAACATTTGAGTGGAAATTTGTTTATACCTGATCTATTTGTAAACAGCAGTTAGCAGTTCTGTCAAACTATTTGAAGTTATTTCAGGTCAAAAAAATTATACCTCATTAATCTTCCATCACTGCTATATTACACAAACTTACTTAAAGTAGTGAGACTCTGATACCATAAATTATATCTGACATGCTCTTTCATTACATTATAATCACACAACAATTTTATCCAAAGTATATTGCTAAACCTTGCCTGCATTCTCACTCCCCAAAATTCAGGACAAGGCCGTTCTTTCTCTGTTAAAATCTAAGGGAAACAAATTGTTTATAAACCCCTGGAGGAGCCTTGGTGGTTTGGTGGTTAAAGCACTCAGCTGCTTTTGTTCTAGCCCCCCAGTCATACAATGGGAATAAGATGTGGCAATCTATTCCCTTGGAATTCCTATGGGGCAATTCTACTCTGTCTTATTGGGTCATTGCGAGTCAGAAAAGATTCACTGACCTTGGGTTTGATAAAAAGAAACTCTTTATTTTGTCATTTCACTGCATCTACCAACGCATTCCCATAGAAAAGCACTAGGGTATGGCCATTCTAGAGCCAATGCATGATTTTTATTATGCTATGCTTAACTCAATTTCTGCTAGGCTCTTCATTAGGTCTAATAAATAAATAGGCCATCACCCAATCTACTGCCATCGAGTCAATGCCGACTCATAGTGACCATACAGGGCAGGGTAGAACTGCCGCTGTGAGTTTCTGAGACTCTAAGTCTTTATGAGAGTAGGAAGGGGGTGGATAGACACAATTAAAAATATATTATGACAGAGAACACACACTGAATACTATTAATGTTTTGATCCCTAGGACTGGAAAACCGAAGAAATGCTGCTTTTAACAAAGATAGACGAAGAGGTTAAAAGGCAGAAAAAAATTGAAGAGCAACAATGGAAAAGAAGAGAACAAATTAATCAAAAGGTAGAATGAGCTTTTGATAATAACTGGGCCATTTGAGGGGAAATGTATGCTTTGAGAAAAGTAGCCTCATCCCCTAGCTAGTTAGCATGAAGAGACCCAATGGTCTCTTCAAGGGCTGGGATGAAGGGGGACCACTGTCCAGAAAAGGGACAGTGAGTTAGATTGGACTGAGTTTTCATGCTGGTCCACCAGAAGAAACATACCATACTCCTTACTCTCTCTTGAGCTTTGTCCCCATGATAACTTTCTAAATATCAGGGTAGAAATGAGGACTTGGCCCACCTCAGGCATCACATTCCAAATATCTGTTAGGTATCTTCCGTGAAAAGTTGATAGTCAGCAATAGATTTTCTTTATGATTTTAGAAGAAAGCACTTCTCAAGAAGAGAATCACCCATCATTTACGAAAAATGCAGCCAATTTGCTCAGAAAGACAAGTAAGGGAAGACATTGGTAACAACGACAACACAGCAGTAGCAGAAGTAAATGGTGAGTGAAAGAAAATAAAAGACTCAGTAGCTGAGCACAATATGCATACCTACAGATTATATATTGGTCGCTTGACCCAACATCTCTGTGTGCTAATAGAGTAAGGCTATAAAGCCTTGAAAATTGGAGGGCCTAGGAGCTAACACCACTACATATGCCAGCCAGTGTGCATAGTACTTCCCAATAAAAGCTCACATTTCAAAAATGTACACACATTCATACAGACACATATTATTATTATTATTATTATTACACATAATACATTAAATGAAATGCTCAAAAGACACAATTACATTAAAAAATCCATTGCCAAGAATTTGATTTCAACTCCTAGTTACCTGGTAGGGCAG